AAAATTTGTGCATTTAAAAATTTGATTGCCTTTCTTTTGTTGAGTTGTAGGAGTTGTTAGTGAACAGAAATATAACTAATGTTTGTGTGTTGATTTTGTATTCCAATAATAATCCTCTATAGATACATAATTTACAAACTCTTTCTCCCATTTTGTGGGTGGCAAGGATTGTTGGCCACCATCAGAAACAGGGTAAGACGAAGAAAGATTCAACCCATAGCCTCAGAGGGAACATGGCTGACACCTTGATTTCAGACTTCTAGCATCTAGAACTATATTGTAGTAAGCCACCCAGTTTGTATTATTTTTAATGGCCTAGGAAACTAACATATGTTCATTTTTTATACCTTTTATTTCTTTTTCTTGCCTAATTGGTCTGGCGAGAATTATCACAAATCCTTCTCAAACCCGTCCAACAAAATGAACAGGAGAGAACCCTTCTTAACTCATGCTACAAATCAGCATCATTCTCCTGTCAAAGTCAAACAAGAACATTGCAAGAAAAGAAAACTACAGACAAAAACCCTGGATGACTACTGATGTAAAAACTTCAACAAAATACTAGCAAACTGAATTCAGGAGGCTACTGAAAGGATTATGTACCATGACTAAATGCAATTTGCACTAGGAATGCAAGGATAGTTAAATCTATGGATATCAATCAACATACCACATTCATAGAAGAAAGGGAAAAATCATAATTACAATTATCTCCACTGATGCAGAAAAGGCATTTAATAAAATTCAACACCATTCAATGATAAAATACTCAATAAACTGAAATAGAAGAGAATTTCTTTAATGTGACAAAAGCTACGTATGAAAAAAATCCAACTAACATCATATTTAGTGGTGAAAGACCAAAAGCTGTTTCCCTAAGGTCAGGAAGAAGACAAGGATGCCTGCTCTTGCCATTTCTATTCAAAAAAGTATAGAATCTACTTTTTTTCAATGTTTCTGTGGAAGAGTGGGAGATGAGCACTGCTCACTCTGCCATTTTGCTGATGTTACTCACAAACTCTAGAACTTTTATACTATCATCATATATAAAATAGTACTTACCAAATTTACATATATGCAAATTAAACAGTAGTGGAAAATAAAATTAATAGCTGAAATCAATTGAGTGCTTACTATTATCAGGCTGTATACTGAACCCCTTATTGCCTAATCTGCAATATTTTCAACAATGCCATGAGGTAGGTATTTTCCCCATCTTATAAAGGAATCAGTGGTGACTCAGGGAGGTTAAACCATTTGCACAGTTTAACAGCTGGTAAGAAACAGAACAGAGCAGCTAATATAGTCTGACTAAAAAAATATACATTTAAATAGCATCCTTCTAACAGTCAGGGTTCCAACAAGTCCTCAGGATAAATTAAGGGATTTTAACTTACAGTGAGATTAATTACAACATTATGGAATGTAAGAGAACCATATAGGATGATGTAGTAACCCCGCAACTACCAAAAAGCAGAGCTGTTGCCGCCCCTAAAGCTAATGGGACCAGGGGCTGGAAAGTGAGTATAGAGAAGGTTTATTGTACAGAAGTGTTAATCTTTAGTAGAGGAACACTGTAAAACTGAGACAACTTTGAGGGGAGAAACCAGGGGGATAAATATCCTGACCTCCCTCCCTCCCAAAACTTGTCAGAGGTCCCCATTAGCTCAATAACTGGAAGCCAGAAGACATGGAAGTCTGCCATCTTGTGCAGAGAGCAGGGTGAAGAAGTGTGGAGAATGGATCTGCAATGGGAGGTAGGGTAAGTAAAAGATATCTAGTACCATGGATACAGAGCAGAATTCTAGCAAATATGCTTTAAGTTGAGATGCCTCCAACTTAGAGGAGGGTGAGGGGAGAGGAAGCATTAGTAAAGTCATACAGATCTATATAGCAGACAAAAAGATGATGGAACAATACAAGCAAATGAATATCAAAAGTTCCCTTTAGCTCCAAGATGAGAAAAATTATTAAAAGTACATCTGTGGACAAAAGAATGTCATTAGCCATTTCAACAAACAAAGGATGTTGCAGCCATAAAACCATTAACCACTGATGGTATACGGTGAAGGGAATTACAGATGGAGAAAAACAGGATACTGGTCCTAGATAGTTAAGATGCATATCAAAGGAATAATTTCAATAAGTCCAGACTCTTGCACCTTGCCACACATAGAAAGGTACTAAAATCATTAGTACCACTGAGATGTCTGGTTTTGTGATCAGCAGTAATCTTTTGATGTTTGACTATATTTTTTCTCCCCCTTAGCAAAAACTCTATATCCTGGCTCCTCCCTTCCCTCTTTGGAACATTCCCTAAGAGCTGAGAGGCTGTATCTCCAGCTTAAGTTCTCACTAAGTCTGCTGAATAAAACATAATTCTCAAATTTTAGATTGTGCATTTTTTTAGTTGACACATCTCTATACAAATATTTAAAACTGTTCCTCAAAAATTACTTTCTGACATTGGATTGAAGCATTAATAGCTAAGCATACAATCTGTTCAGTCACTTATTTGCAAGTATGAATAATCATGTAGAGTCTGAGGAAGAAGGAACTACTATGATAGCATCTGGTTTCTGATAAGGAAGACACTGGCTAATTTGTTAGGAAATTGATGGCGCTTTATACCATTGTTATCATATGTTCTTATTACTTCATCTAAATAGTCTTGCTTCCAGATTCCCTTCATTTGTTGAACTTTTAAATGTATTTACATTGTGATACACACATTTCACAACATGACATATGATCTATAGTTTATTATTTAATGAAAGAAATGAGTTACCCACTTATTTGTATATATGTTTTGACTTTAATGATAAAGTAAACAGAATAAACATAAGTCTAGAGATTAATACAATGAGTGGGATGTTTGGAGGCATTTGACACATTTAAGAAGATTCAGTTATACAGGTCCACTAGATACCATCTTTCAAATGGTTAATGCTTTCTGAAAGTAGAGCTTAAGCTTGTTAGCACTCACAGCATAATTGGGAGGAACTATTGTGATCCATGAAAAATTAGAACAAGTCTACTTTGAAAAAACAGGGCAAATGGCAGCATTCAGACTCAAAAGACTTACTTGCTCACTAACTTAAGAGTATGGCCTTTCAGTCATATAGACCCATGTTTTAGTCCTGGCTCGGACACAAGCAAATTAGATAAACTGCAAACCTAAGTTTTCCTTGTATATAAAATGTATAAATAATGCCTCCCTCATAGAACTGTTATGAAGAATAAGAAGAGATAACATATAAAAGTACTTGTCACAGTGCCAAGCATGCAATCACCAATCAGTAATTGGGATGATTATCACTGTGAACATTTCTTCTTGAAAGTTTCCTTGGCAATCCAGTGGTTAAGACTCTGTGCTTTCACTGTAGGGGATGTGAGTTATACCCCTGGCCAGGGAACTAAGATTCTGCATGCCTCATGGTGCAGCCAAAATATAAAATTTTTTTAAAAAGTCCAGCTCATTTGGAGTAATAAAAAACAATTCTTCCTAAGGCTGTGTATTATGTGCAACCCAGAAATATGTGATTCTGAATACTATTTCTGTGAGTTGAATGTATTGATATGCATTGTAATGGAAAATGGATATTTTTAATTGGAGTGATATGGCAATATGGATTAATGTAGCAGCAGCAATATTGGGTAATAGTAGTAATAATAATAATAAAAGCCAATTTACATAAAAATAATTGAGATACCAAGCTTCAGTTCTAAAATGTTCTCAGTTACTTATTAAAATTGCACATATAGCCATTTATTATACTGACTTTCTCTGAAATAGGTATATTTAGATTCCCTATCAGGTACTAGTTACAGTGACATAAAAGAAAGATGAGTAATTTAAGACTTATATAGCTATTATCCACCCAGATATTTCTTTAGTTTGGTCAATTAAGCTTTTTTTTTTTTTTTTTTACCAAGGATAACTTTAATTTAGTGTCAAAAGCCAATACTTCTGAAACAAGATTATTAGATGCTTAAAACAGCCTATGACAACGTCTTAAAGTTCTCACTTGACTACATTTCCATAGATATCCTTTCTGGATTATTCAGTTTATTTACATAAGCTATCTTCAGGGAGCAAACTATCTCTGCTACTTTTTCAGGAGCAGATTCTTCTGTCCTTTTAGAAAAAGGGCCTGTCCTGGTTCAATGTTGCCTACATCTAGATATGTCATTTTAAAAACAGCTTTATAGAGCTCTGATCGACATACAATAACTTATACATATTCAAAGTGTACATTTTAATGTTTGACTGAGGGATTTGTAAATAAGTACATTTGGCTCTCACAGTCCATGTAGCCTCTAACCTGTCTTTTATGAAAAATAAAGGCTGATGTTTGGTAGAAACCAACACGATACTGTAAAGCACGTATCCTTCAATTAAAAATAAATACATTAAAAAAAATAAAGGTGAAGTTTTTGACATCCAGAAACTACTCTGTTTCATGTTTCAAAAATTTTAAGAACATAGCCAGAAGAGAGCAAAGCCATTTTACTGTTTCATATACTCCTATATTGCTGCAAGTTGATCTCCTTCCCAAATTCTCTATTACCATAAAGCTTTGAGCCTGTAAGAAACAAAACCCACAAATCCAACAAATTCCATCATGATCAGCTTTCAGAAGCACCAATCAAGTCCCACTGTTTTTCTCCAATGAAAGGAACTGAATTTACTTCTTGTAATTTCAGAAAACAGTTAAAAAACAAAACATCAAAACCAAAACAAAACATAGTAGGCTATCATTTGAAGTTTCCTAAGCTTAGCATTGATCCTAATGCTGTACAGTGAGGAAAACAAGCTTGAATTCTTTTACGGGGAAAAGGTAGACAATCTTCTTGATGTAAGAATATAGACAGATAGATATTCAAAGCTCATTTGATTTGCAACCAGCTCCTGAAGAAATGACATTCAGACAACCTGTTGCAGTCGGCAGGTAAATAACTCATCATGAGGTCCACACGACATTTCTGAGTGCACTCACCTCTGCTGTGTGCTTTGCTACATTCCCCACGATGACAATGACTTTCCCTTTGAAGCTCTGGAGCATGGCAGTGCCAGGTCCCTGGGTAAGCTCCCCTTCAGCAGTGAACGCAGTGCTGAATGGAATGTTGATGCTGCCTGAAATGTGACCCCGAACGAAACTGAGAAAAAAGGTTAAGGGAAACATTTATTTGTGTGCAGATCTGAATGTGTGAGAGAGCTCACAGGGAATTAATTCTCAGAAGAGAGTACCATTAAAATCAAACAGAAATGGAGAGAAGACTTGAAAATCCCCTGAACAGACAAAACCAGTTTAGTCACACAAGCAAAGATTAATTTAGCTTGTTTTGCAAGACAAGCAGGCTAACTTGACCTGGGTCACTTCTTGTTTATGCCTCTGAAAATCGTAAGTGAAACTTAAACTGTCTCCCTAAATTGATGTTTGATGCTCACTAACCATTTCCCTTTCATTTAAGAAAATTCTAATATTGTAACCAGTCACTGAAAAATAGTCACTGCTGCTTTTTAACAATATACCTCTGAGCCTTACTCCATGTTTTGGCTCAACTGCTCCTGGTTTGCAAACTGTCTTTTGGTGTGTATATAATAAACTTTTATTAATTACTACTTTATTAATTAACTTTTTTAATTACTACTTTAGTTATTCATTAGTTTCACTTTTTTCCCCTGAACTTCTGACAGAAAGGAAAAAGATTAGCCAAGGGGGAATGAGACTTTCTTGATTAAATGAAATATTGTGAAAGTGATCAGAATGCAGCAAATCAATGGCAATCACATAGGCTGTACAACATTCATGGCTTTCAATTTATTATTACTATTATTACTACTATTGTGATTATTTTAAAGCTCTATTACAAAAGAGTGCAATTAAAAAGAGGACTCTTCCTATAGAGTCTATAGAGAAAGATATTATATCAGTCACTTTTTTAAAAAGCATAAATTAACAACTACAAAAACTGCTCTGAAAGAGATGTATATGATACTTTGATAGGGCCTGTCAATTTGAGGAGGACAGGGAAGGTTTCCACGAAGGAAATAAGTGATGGCTGAAGTAAAATTTGAATAATTAATAAAAGTTAGGCAACAGAATAGAATACAGGTGGTATAGGGTGGTGGAAGGGACAAACATTTCAGGCAGAAATGTGAGGTGTGTACTGGGGAGGCACATGACCAATCAAGAGAAAGGAAGGAAGGCCAGTATAGTAGAATGCAGAGAGCAAAGATAGCATACTAGCCTGGAAATGAATGCAGAGGCCAGATCATAAGGCACCTTGCAGATCATGTTGTTAAAATTGGTCTTTCTCCTAGAGCAATGAAAATCAGGAAGTATTTTAAGCAGATAAGTTAACAGATCACATCTGCACTTTGGCAACAAGCTGGAGAAAGGCTAGAAGGAGAATGAATGTGAAGGTTAGCTTGTGAGACGTCTGTCTAGGCTGTATCTTGTCTCCTCCTTATAATCACTGATGATGATCATGAAGAGATGTTTATGTTCAATAGAAGCATCTCCCCCTAAACTTCCAATTTAGATATGTGCTTTACAAAATAGAAAAGTCACAGCATTTTAAAAGGTTATATCACAAGCAATGAATATCTGTCCCCCCCAACAAAAAACTAATCAGTCATTGCTGTAGAATGGCAAAAGTTATAATTATTTATTGACATGTCAATTTCTCTACTGCCCCAGTTTGTGGGTTCATCTTTAGGGTATTACTTCTCTCTGTTTCTGTCAATCTCTCTTTTTCCCTCATTAACACAGAGAGGAGAAATTTGAGGCTCCTACTCTCAAGATAGATGGTGGAGGTTGAACACATATCTTAAACTTCTAGTCAGCTGTTACTTCATTTTTCTTTAAAGAGAAGCATTTGGCACTAATAATGAGGGAAAGGATGTAAAACGTTCTGGAAAATGAAGTGAGAAATAGAATAGATATCATTCCAGGTACACTGTTTAGTTAGAATATTCTAGAATGAACAGAGAATTTATGATCATAGGCAGATCACCCTTCAATTTCATCAGCTCTAGTTTTTTGAACATTTACAATGACTCAGTATTCAAAGTATCGGCTTCAGTATTCACAAACAGAAATGACTGTCCTCAGCATATAATTACTACAATAGCACTTTAATCTTTAATAAGGACATACCTTAAAATAAAAACTTTTGACTTCTCAAACTGTGAACAGGACAACTCAACTGTTTTCAGCAAAGGAATCTGCATCTGCCAGCCTGAGTCAGCTGCCAGAGAGTTTCTGTGTTTATTAAATAGCCAGTGTCAACCATGGACATTTTTCCTTTTTAGTGTTTTTTCAGTAGCAAAAACAATACAAATCTATACTAGTTAAATGCTCTAGCAGACACGTTTGCATTGCCTGCCCAAACCCTGCTTTCTTGTTTGAAAGGACCTCAGCTACTGACCCTGATGAAAGGATGAGCCTAGGCTGTCATGTTTGAGTCAGGTGACCCTGCCTCAATCAAGACTGACGGGATAGTGGGGAGGGCGAGGGGGAGCTGGATGTCTGACACAGGCTGAGCCAACTAGGTTCTCTCTCTTCAAAATCAAAGATAAAAGACAACGCTCAGACTGTGTTAAACTTATCTGAGTGCCTTCTCTACACATAATTTATTCAGCCACATGTTAAAGAATTAAATAAAATTATTTATTTTACAAGATAAATTCTATAAATATTTGGTTTAAAAAAAGTACTCACCTGTATTCAAATACTCAATATCTAATATCTGTATCTAAAATCATAGACAAGCATCTAGATGAGTTTCTGGGTTCAATATCACCAATTTATTATGGGCTTTTAAAGATTTTAGTCCAAGTTGCCTTTTAGTCACTATAAGTATGTCATAAATTTATCATTCTAGAATTTGCTTTTGTGCTTTATGGTTTAATGTTTAAAAAAAATTCACTAGATTAAATGTTAAAATGCTGACAAAGTATGATGGCAACAGAGTCCTTTGGGTAAGAGAAAAGTTAGAATCCAAAATACAAAATTATTTCAAATTTTTTTTAAGGCTATTTTAACACTTTGGACAATAAGACACAAAAGAAAAAAAAATCTTAAACCACACTAAAAACCCATTTTTAGTTTAGTTCAATCAAAAAAATCCTGGAAAACATATAAAAGCACTCATCCAAGAACACTCTTGTCATAAAACTTATAGTGCAAATAAGATTGGGTAAACATGGATGCTTGTAGACAGAATGGTCAAACCTCTAAATAGCTGTTAACCGTGTGACTGGCAAATAGCAGAGGCTAATGAGACTGGTCTAGTTACATATTAATACATTTACAATGAACACTCTCTTCTTAAGTAAGCTGGACAATGAGACAATCTTGGTTATTTAAAGATCTTGTTTCCTTGGGATTATTTACATTTCACTGCCTACAACATAAATTCTCATATGACGCAAACATCATATGATGAAGTAGAATTTTTTTCAGGCAATTTCTAAACACATGAGAGGCTGTCAGACTGTATTATAAAGGCAGGTAGTCAAAGATTTTTAAAAATCTTCAATCTTTCATAATCATAGTAAAGTATTACATGTTTGAAGAATGAACAAAAAACAGATTCTGTATATTGTGTGTTAATAGGACAAATTAAGTACAGTGAAACACAAGATGATTTCTGACATACAGTGACTATGATTAATCCTGGGCACAACATGGCAAGGAGAGCAAAATGATATAAGAATACACTGCAATATGCACTTTCTCCATGGTCAAAGGACTTCTATTTTATTGAACTGCAGTGGAGGACAAATATGTGTAAGTTCTTTAGCTGACTCATTGGAAAAGACCCTGATGCTGGGAAACATTGAAGGTAGGAGGAGAAGGGGACAACAGAGGATGAGATGGTTGGATGGCATCATTGACTCGATGGACATGAGTTTGAGCAAGCTCTGGGAGTTGGTGATGGATGGGGAAGCCTGGCATGCTGCAGTCCATGGGGTTGCAAGGACTTGGACACGACTAAGTGACTGAGCTGAACTGAGAGACGAACATGCAACAATATATTTTTTAGAATTGTGATTGTTACTTCATTGCTTTCCTCATATTCTAGTCAAAAATTTGAATTCACTGCATTTGCCTTTTGCATTTGGGCTTCCCTGGGGGCTCAGGTGGTAAAGAATTTGCCTACACTCAAAGAGGTTCTATAGTGGGTATACTACCCAACAGACGGACACTATACTATTTTACAAACAGTAAACTTAAAAAGCTTCAGCGTCAAGTATCTGGTTTAGAAACCAAGATTATAGAAGCCCAAGTATTTATGTGGTAATTAGCCTTAATCATATATACATCTTGACAGTGTACTTATAATAATGTCCACCATAATTTTAAGATTTATTTTGGCAAAAAACACAATAAAAACAATGGCACACATAAACACTAGCTATTATCCTTTCAGTGTTTATAAGACATTTTTGCTATTAGGATTTTCAATGATGAATTTGAAGGAATTAAAAGATATAAGACATGATTAAAGAAGCTGATAGGAATTACAATGAAATCTCTTCTATGGAATAGTAGTAGCTATAAAAACACAAAAGCATCTGATTACTATAGCAGTCACTGGGTCAGGTGTGTTTGCACCTTAAATATTTTTGTGTATGATAAAGGAGTTGGGTTATTAGAACAATATTAACAGGTAAGGATGATGTGTGTTATCTTGTACATTTCTAAGATATGAAGACTTTCTTACAAGTCACTCTATATGATGGTACAAGAAGATGAATCACACTTTAATGAAGAAAAAATATCAGTTCTAAGAATAATATGGATACACGATATAGGTAAGTTACATAGGCAAATTTTCATATTCCAGAAAAATTCTTTACTAAAAGATTTAAAAATTCCTTTAAGTAATTGATGGTTCAAAATTCAGTACAGAAATAATCTCATGTTTTCTAAATTCTAAAAGTGCACAGCAATTCTCACTTGCTGACATCACACTTCTATACACAAAGCATACTTATATCTTACCAGACCAAGAAGGTATGCTCAGTTATATGTTGGCTTCTTTGTTTGCTATGTTAGCAAATTATAGTCAGTGTCAAAGACCTCAAAGTAAAGGCTATACCTTTAGTATATCAAAAGTCAAAAGCTTCCTATTATAAAAATTAT